GTTAAGTACCTTCCTTGTTGATCATGGGTTCACCAGAGGTAAAATTGATACTACTCTATTCATTAGACGATTAACAGAAGGTAATCTTATCATTCAAATTTATGTTGATGACATTATCTTTGGTAGTGCTAACTCTCTTATGTGCAAGGAATTTGCAAACCTCATGCAAAGCGAATTCGAAATGAGCATGATGGGTGAACTCACATTTTTCCTTGGGCTTCAAATTCATCAATCTGAAGAAGGAACCTTCATCTGTCAAACTAAATATACAAAGGAGCTGATTCAAAAATTTGGCATGAGCAATGCTAAATCAATTGGCACTCCTATGAGTCCGGCTACAAATTTGGATAAGGACGAACATGGTACTCCAGTTGATTAAACAAAATACAGAGGAATGATTGGATCACTACTGTATCTGACCACAAGTCGACCAGATATTATGTTTAGCGTTTGCAAATGTGCCAGATTTCAGTCGGCTTCAAAAGAGTCACATCTAACTGCTGTAAAAAGAATTATTCGATATCTTATTGGCACAGTACTTTATGGATTATGGTATCCTCGCTCTAACTCGTTTAAATTAGAAGGTTTCCCAGATGCAGATTTAGCAGGTGATAAAGAAGACCGGAAAAGCACGAGTGGCACTTGTCAATTACTAGGAAAGGCTTTAATATCCTGGAACAGTAAAAAGCAAGCATCAGTCGCCTTGTCCACTACTGAAGCTGAGTACATTGACATTGGTCAATGTTGTGCACAACTCCTGTGGATGTCACATCAATTAGGTGACTATGAACTTTCCTTCAAACCTATACAAATCTTTTGTGATAATTCTAGTGCAATTTGTCTATCTAAAAATCCTGTGCATCATTCTAGAGCAAAGAATATAGACATTAAACATCATTTTATTAGAGATCATGTTCTTAAAGGTGACATAGAATTATCTTTTGTTGGCACTTCTGCCAAATTAGCTGATATTTTTACTAAACCATTGATGGAAGAAAGATTTTGTTCTTTGAGAAAATTACTTGGCATCATTTGTTTTTCAAAAAACTCTTAGGACGAAAGTGTTATTTTTCAAAAACATGTCATAATTACTCCTTTTCAGTGCATTAATTAGTCGGTTTTTCCTTCTCTTTTTATTTTGTTTCCCATCAGTCTGCAGTCGAAGTTGGAAAGCCAATCATCACGTCGCTTCGACTGACACTCTTTCCTTTTNTCTTGATATTACTCTACCAATACTAACCACTTTTCCAAGCAAAGCAAGAATTTAATGGCACTTATTAATGTTTGCAACCACCAACAATAAATGAAGAATGAGAAGTAAATAAATATCAACCAACCATTATATATATATTCAATGTTAAACACCCATTAGCATAAAACCCATTTAGGGTCCACAACCTTAGTATTTAAAGTTAGCTACTCATACTAAAATACAAAAACAAGAGAATAATAAATGCCATAAAGCTTACAAAGTAAAGATTCTTGACCCAAAAGCTTCCAAAAAGTGAAGAATATTTAAGTCTTGGAATGTAGCTCAAAAACTAGACAAGATGATCCCACAAAAACCTAATAAATCTATTTATAGTGTACTGAAAATCGGGACAGAAAACGGACAAAAATGCCCTTTCAGGTCAGATATGCGACCGCATTTCTATCGCAAAGAGCACATGCGGCCTGCATTTTGGACATCCTCATCGCAGATTGAAACCCTAATTTCTAGGCCTTCACCGCATTCATGTTATGCGATCCGCATTGTAGAAATGCGATCGCATTTTTCATCGCACTTTCTTCATTCAGCAGCCTTCATGGTTGGTTTGTGGTCTATTTTGCAGCTCGCAAATAGGTTATGCAGTCGCAGAATGGACCGCATTCTTGACGTTGAATTTTGCTCAGGATTCTGTTGTGATCTGCGATCTCAGTGTCAATTATGCGGTCCGCATTGTCATTTTGCGACCGCATATCTTCCTTTGCAATGCCTTTTTGATCTTTTCTTGTCTTTTTGTAACTTTTTGCTTTCATTTCCATGCTCTTGGGTCCTTAAACCTCATGTACTGCAAAAACACTAAAATTACATAAATAAAGGAGATAATTGCATCTGAAATAAGCTAAAATCTAAGCAATTAGTATTGAAATGTGCCGAAATTCTCCAGCACATCAACACCCCCAACATGAACTCTTGCTTGTCCTCAAGCAACTAAAACAACACTAACCTATTCTAGACTCTATCTACAAAACATGAAACAATAGTGACCATGGGTGGTGTTAGTTGTTAGTATTTCAAGCATGCATCTTCGATTGCTTTATCCTTCTTGAACCATCAGTACGTACAAAGGAAACTAATTAACTTGTGAACTTTGAGCCTCAGACAATGTGACAAAATGCTGCCCTCAGCTGATTGCATTTGACTCAAAAACTCAACTTTTATTCAACCTTACAGTTCATGTGCCCTCAGTAGAAAGAAGGTCCCAAAATCACAGTATGTACAATGACAACAAAACAAAAAGGGACGAATTCACAAAGACACTCACTCTCAAAAAAGAGTTTCAAGTGTATCAACATACCATACCATTGGCTTGCCCTTATTTTAATTCATCGCTTTATTCTAAGAATGCTCAGTTGGAGATCCCATAAGGACTTTTTAAGCTTGTAATGTAGGTTTAGGGAAGGGTCGGATAAGCATTTGGATACAAGTGACTTCACCCTCCTTGAACACTACTCACATATTTCATTCTTTTGCACTATGTTTCTTTTCAACCCACAAAGCCTCATTGGAATCTAGTTCCCAATGTAGAACCGCCTTAAATACCTCTCTAATTTTCCTCAAGGCTCCATGATTTATATACATACAAATATTTCTCTCTGTTTTTTTTTGGAGCTTGAATAATTTAGCACCAACACTTTGAGGTATATGATCCTACACTCAATGTACAACCTTACCAATTTCCACTTTGACACCACACCCCCAACTTGGGCTTTTAGCCTCATTCTCAATGTTCAAGGAGGGACGGGTTCAAAAGAGGGAATTATTTTACAAAAAGGGGAAAGGTTTGTAATAAGGTAGCCAAAGAAAAGGTTAAAGGCTCAAATGGGGTGACTAGGGATATTAACTGCACAATGGGTGGCTTGGAAGATCACAAAGACTGCCTAAGGTCATCTCTCCAACCAAGTGTAATTATTATAAGCATCGAAAAACCAACCGGGCAAGTTCTAGATGGTAGAAGCAAACACAAGAAATATTTACACAAAGAACTCACACACATGGCACACGAACTGTTCGGCTCACATAGTTTGAAGCCCTTGAGTCAGCACTTGGCAACTCAAAGCTTTCATCATATGTACAAGTATAACTCTAGGTAGACATAGAGTCACAGAGCGAGCCTCAAGTTCACACAGTTGATATCTCTTTTTTATATCTCTGGAAGGGTATATGCTATATACAGACACACATGCTTGAGACTAGACAATTACACCAAACAGGTCAAGATGTTTCATTCTACTGTCCTGGTTCTACTATTACAACCTTGGAAAAGAACCTGGCGAAGAAAAACCAAGGGGGATTCATTGCTAATTACTAAAGATGGATAACTATCTACTTGTTTTCTTTTTACTTTTTTTGTTTTTATTTATTTTATACATGCAACAGGGTATCATATTCACAAGGGTATCATAACTTATGCATTGAAATCACAAAAACACTAATATAAACATGATCACGAACTACATAACACAACTTATGTACGGATATAAACATGATCACGAACTACACAACACAACTTATGTGCGGAAATTATACTAACATACACAGAGCACAAAATACACATATGTCCAACAGTTACTAATGTCACCAAAGTACCAATGGCACAAAAGTACCAATAAGGCTACCACCCCCAACTGAACAGCATGCATTGTCCCCAATGCATAAAAAAAACATAGAGTGTAAGGGGCTCCCTGAGGCGCACTAAGCGCTATGGGAGTCAGTAGCCTGCGCAGTGGTGGTAGGGTCTGTTAGATCATATTTTAATGATGCAATTAATATGCATGTGCAGGAGTTCAAAGAAGTAAAAAGGAACTATTGGAACGGCTATGTCGAACAAGGAAGGAAATCATTCAGAAGGGAAGCTGTCTGAAATACTTACGATGTACAAGGAAAGAAACAGTACTACATCAGCAAATCAGGATTAGCTCCATGATTTTGGGAAATCAAATCTGCCATAATGGAATAAAGATTCAACGCAATATGTGATTGACGAGTCAGATCAAATCACTGAAGAACTATTAAAGCTAGAAGATCCAGACAGCGGTCAAGATTGGAAGGTCCAACAATCAAGGAAGAATCCTGTCAAACCCGTTATCTGCCGAAGGAAAAGGTCTGAAGAGAAGCAACGAATAGTTCTTTATTCTTGGAAAGAATCAACTCTTTCCAAGGATCAAAACCCTTGGGTTGACAAGCCTTCACCATTGATCCTTGTATAAATTCACAGTGTAACTCCATCCTTAGTATACTTTGATCAAACCAAAATAACTCTCTTCATTCTACTGCAAACAAGCATAGTTGCCTATATAGATCTGCTGTGTAACAAGTCAGGAATAGAAAGAGGTCATACAACTGGTGAGGCATTGTATCAAACGAGTGCTAGAGAAACTGGGCGACATACATCAATTCTGTACTCAAAAGAAAACTTATTCACTTGAAGAGAAATCCCTTGCAACCCAAGGGGACTGGATTAGGATTCACATTGAATCCGAACCAGTATAAAAATTCCTGGTGTCTTTAAATTTTTGCATTTACTTTCTCCTTATTTCCTCAAATTACTATATCTGCAAGATTGCCATATTAGTCGACTACTTAGGTTTTAAGCCAACTTGTTAACGATTAACTTTAATTATCTACAATTCACCCCCCCCCCCTCTTGTACTTTCAGCTCCATAGTAAGCCAATAATACCCTGCCCGTAGAATCTTCTTCGCCAAAACATATCCATTCATGTGAGGTCCGCATACCCCCAAATGCACCTCGTTTATGATCCGCTCCGCTTCTGTGGCATCAATGCATCTCAACAACTTTAAATCTGGGGTCCTCTTGTACAAAATTTTCCCATTCAATAAGAAACCCCTGGCGAGCCGCCTTATAGTTCTTTTTTGATCTCCTTTGGCATGCTCTGAATATTGTCTTGTTTTCAGGAATCGTTTTATGTCATGATACCATGGTTCACCATCTGGTTCTGTCTCAATTGTATTGCAGTAACCGTGTTGATTTCGAACTTGCATTTCTAGTGGATCAATATGAGTGTTGCCTGGATAAGAGAGCATCGAGGCTAAAGTAGCAGAGGCATCGGTTAGCTCGTTGTGAAACCAGGGAATGTACCTGAACTCGATAGATTTGAATCTTTTGCTCAAGTCTTGCACACATTTTCTGTATGGAGTAAGCTTGATGTCTCGAGTCTCCCATTTGCCCTGGGCTTGCCGGATTAGCAAGTTAGAATATCCCATAACCAATAGTTCATGCACATCCAGATCGATGGCCATTTTCAGACCCATGATACAAGCTTCGTATTCTGCCGTATTATTGGTACAGAAGAACCGAAGTCGGGCCGTTGCAGGGTAATGATGTCCATTAGGTGAGATAAGGATTTCTCCGATACCAACTCCTTTGATATTGACAGCCACATCAAAATACATTTTCCATACAGGGTTATCGTGTGGAACTACTTCCTCTATTGAGTTGACCTCTTCATCTGGGAAGTATGTGCTGAGTGGCATGTACTCATCATCAACTGGATTCTTTGCCAAATGATCTGCCAAAGCTTGGGCTTTCATCGCGATGCGAGTGACATAGACGATGTCGAACTCTATGAGCAGGATTTGCCATTTTTCGAGCCTGCTAGTGGGCATTGGCTTTTGGAAGATGTACTTCATACAATTCATTTTGGATATAAGGTAAGTAGTGTAGGCCAAAAGATAATGTCTCAACTTCTGAGCGACCTAAGTCAAGGCACAACATGTCCTTTGTAAAAGGGTGTACTTAACCTCATAATTGGTGAACTTCTTGCTCAAATAATAGATTGCCTATTCTTTTTTGCCTGTTGCATCATGTTGCCCCATAACGCATCTAAAGGAATTATCCATCACAGATAGATATAAAAACAAAGGCTTACCAGGTTCAGGTGGGACCAGTACATGGGGTTTTGGCAAATAATATTTGATCCTGTCAAAAGCTTTTTGGCAATCGTCCCTCCACCTGATAGCGACACCCTTTTTCAGCAACTTAAAGATGGGCTCGCACGTGGTTGTGAGCTGAGCAATGAACCTACTGATGTAGTTCAACCTCCCGAGCAAACTCATGACTTCCTTTTTATTCTTCGGGAGTAGCAGATCTCGAATGGACTTTATCTTGGATGGATTCAGTTCAATGCCTCTCCGGCTGACTATAAAACCGAGGAGTTTCCCAGATGGAACCCCAAATGCACACTTGGCTGGATTAAGCTTAAGGTCATACCTTCGAAGGCGTTCGAAGAACTTTTTCAAAACGTACATGTGATCAGCTTGTGTCTTTGATTTTACGATGACATCATCTATATATACTTCAATCTCTTTGTGCATCATGTCATGAAAATTGGTGGTCATGGCCCTCATGTAAGTTGCCCCTGCATTCTTTCAATCGAACGACATGACCCTGTAACAATGAGTACCCCATGGAGTGGTGAAAGCGGTCTTTTCTGCATCATCCTCATCCATTAGAATTTGGTGGTACCCAGTGTAGCATTCCACGAATGATTGTATCTCATGCTTTGTGCAATTATCTACAAGAATGTGGATATTTGGCAAAGAAAAATTATCCTTTGGACTTGCTTTGTTCAGGTCCCTATAGTCGACACAAACTCTAGTTTTTCCATCCTTCTTAAGCACAGACACAACATTTCCATCAGACAGCTCTGACCACATTGGCGCTTAGTTGCTTCATTATTTCCTCTTTGATTTTGTCACTCATGTCTGTTTTAAATTTTTGTTGCTTTTGTTGGACTGGTGGAAAACCAGGATACTTAGGAAGCTTATGAACCACTAGATCAGCACTTAAACCCGGCATATCATCGTAAGACCAAGCAAACACATCTCTGTATTCAAATAAAAGTTGAATCAAGGCATCTCTGGTTTTTTGTTCAGTGTGAATGCTTATCTTCGTTTCTCTAACTTCTTCATTACTTCAGATATTAATTGGCTAGGTTTCATTGAGATTGGACTTAGGCTTGTTTTTCAAATTGTTCCAACTCTCTTTTTATCTCTTCGACAACCTCATCTTCATCATATTCAACCTCTTGATGCATTATTTCGATATTAGACAGCCTTTTAAGATCTGGTCGTGAATTCCGCATGCATGTCATGTTATGAAAGCCGACATTAACAAAACTGAAATTGAAATAAAATGACAGGAATTAGGAAAGGGAAAAGATACAAAACTTAATAGGAAACTGAAATGCATTTCATTGAATTCGAAAGGATAAAAGGGTTAACATCAAAACAAAATAATCATACTGAGATGTTTGGATTACAACCCTGAAAGTAACTCAAAATACCAAAAGGAAGCTGCAAAGCAAACTACCAAGACTCCTTCCTGTGGGCAGAGGAGTTGCTTCCCAGCTGTTGAGCATGGTGTCTGGGCCAATTAGTTGCATATAGGCACGACTAGTGCCTTCACCAGACTGGATCATATTTACTTTAGAAAACATTTGGCTGAGGCCATGGCAAATTTCATCAATGTTTGCATGCGCCGAGGAATTTTGACCCTCTTGGAGTTGTGGCTTGACAAGAGTGTAGAAAATATGAGGGATAGGCTATTGCAAGACCCGTCCATGCTTTTTGCGGTGTTTGACTTTGTTGTCGTCTGCTTGTGTTGGCCCGAAGCCTAAGCCAAAAGTACCTTGGTTACCGAACGGAGAGATAGGCTCCAAAATTCCTTGCAATGGTGCCCCCAAGCCTTTTCCTAGCTCATAACCTTGTATTATCATAACTGCAGCCACTATCACACCTCCTTTTTCTACCCACCCCGAGAGGTATATGGGAGTTTTTCCAATTAAAGTGACATTATTCGAAATGGGATTATTTTATTTAATTCAAAGTCGCCACTTGGGATAATTTATGGTGTCCCAAGTCACCGGTTTATTTTAAATCCCAAATCGAGGAAGTTTTGGACTTTATTTAAAGTCTGCGACCCAGAAATTCTAAGTAAGGAATTTTGTTAACCCGGGAGAAGGTGTTAGGCATTCCCGGGTTTCGTGGTTCTTGCACGGTCGCTTAGTGATTATTACTTGGCTTAAATTGTTTAACTACTCATTTTAGGACCTATGCGCCTTTATCTTTTTACCTCTTTTAAATCACTTGGATTATTAGTAATTAAAGAATTGAGTTACGCCTACGTATACTCTTTTCTTTTGGCGGGTCAAAATCATGTCACGCGAACGTGTCCACGCTTAATAACGCTTTTGTTGATTAATTAAGAAAGTTTGGTTGAAGTTGCGCGAACGCATCCCTCCAGTACGCGAACGTATACATAATCGCAATACTAATCTAAATCGGGCCTAATGCAAACTACGATTGGTCAAATTAACAACAACGTTTGCAAGGGCCATGGAAAATTAAAATAATGGCACACCCCGATTTTAAAAAGAGTTATTATTAATTATATGAGAGCCATGGACTTAGGCGTTTTATTTAACATGGCGCACCTCAATTTTACAAATTTTAATTAAGTTCATAAGGGCCATATGTTATGTGTTTTAAACATGGCACACCTCAAATGGTTTTTTGGAAGAAACTTATTTGATTAAGGGAATCTAAAGATGTACTCATTAAAAACTAACTTGAACTTGGAAAAGAGGCTATCAACTATAAAACTAAGTTTATTTTTTATAAATCATTTTTGGTCAAGAAGGAAAGGATCAATAGCGTTGGTTAGCATATCAGCTTTGAGAGCCAAAATTTGGGCTGACCACTTGGCCCGGAGATCAGAAGGGAACTTTAAAGGCATTATTACCAAATTTGAATTAGGTAACCCACATTGGGTTCAACTTCAGGCGGGCCCAGATGGCTATATTTTCTAATTTGGGCGTATCTACCTTTTAGCCAATACATGAATTAGAGGGAAAAGCTGAAACGAAACAACTCTTGAATGAAGAAATCAAAACAAGACTAGTTCGAAAACTAGTTCTGACATACTAATTTGCAAGGCACATTGGATGTGCATTTAGTACTCAGTGAACGAAACAACTGCTGCTGGGCAAGCTGTGAAGTCCAACTGCCTAGGCCTAATGGCACAAGCCAGACTTGCATCGAATGGGCCCAAGACTTGGGCCTGCTTGCCAATGCAATCCAACTCAATATTTACATACATCTCTAAACATATCCATTGCAAAAGGAAAATTTACTATTGAAAGACTACTAATAATTAAGCTTAAATTAAAAATTAACAGTCCATTTACAGTATTGTAAGTCCCATAGTTTATACAATGAAGCCTTTAATTAGTATTACCTAACAACTATTATTTAAAGGAAATTCTACAAAAAGTAAAGTAGTAAAAAATTGAAAGCTTCTTCTTGTTTCAAATTCCTTCCATCAAATTTTTTGAGGACCAAAGCATGAGATCTGCAAGAAGTCAGCTACTGAGCTGCTTCTCACAAGCTGTTCTTAGGCTCCCAACCTGAAGTTTCTCACTACCAAATCAACCTCTATTTTCTCTGTTTTCTAAGTATTTTCATGGATCTGACCATGTGAAAGGGTCAAATTCACAAAAAATACTTCAGTTATACTAACATTCTATACTGTCAGGCGCAACACTTATACACCTAACGCAGAAAACTGTAATGATTCATGAGTTTGACCATGTTAAGGGTTAAACACATGAACCACCATAAGTTCCAAGCTCAAAATCATGGCAGGCTGCTTTGGTGAAGTGCTAAAGTGAACTCAATGGGAGTAAAAAAAAGGAGGATTAGTCCATGGACCTGACCATGTAAGGGTCAGGCTCAATGAACCAGCCTGGTCTAAGGAGGGAAAAGTTTGAACATATTGACTAATCATTGCAAGAAGAAAAAGCAATGCATACTAGCAGGAGAGAATTAGCACTATCAAAGAAGTTAGAGCATTATTACAGAAGCTATAGGTGAAGAAATTCGGGTATTTTGAGATAAAGAATAGTTGTAACACCATTGCAATTTCAGCATGCAAAACTTAACAAGACATACATGAACAGTATCAACCAAGATAAAAAAACTCATATTCATCTGCAAGTCTCAATTACATAGAAATCAAACAGAGGAAAAAGAGCCATATATACCTTGATGCAATAGTTAAGTATCGGCAAAATGAAAGTGAGACTGTTAGAGAAATTTCAGGAGCAAGAACAGCAACAATGAACAAACAGCTTCAACCAACCCAGAGGATCAAACTTCTGAACCCAAAACAAACCAGCTGAAACCAAAAGTCCCCAGCTAGTAGACCAAGAAGAAAACTCTCTATTTTTCATAGCATGTTTTTAAACTTGTGAAGAATCAGAGAAAAATGAGAGGGTTAAGATTTTTTTTTGACTCTGAATTTTCAGTAGGAGAATGGAATTTTTTTGCAGTAAAATGCTGATCAATTTCGTGTATGAAAATATCTTGTGTGTGTGTCAATCAGAATAAGAGGACGTATATAGGCTGCCTAGGGGAGGGTATCTTTTAGGCATATTCCTTATCCTAGGGAATAATAGTACTGTCCTTTTTTACAG